ATTAACCAAATATGCTACATAAACTTGATTTAAATAAAAAAAAATGTACTCACTGGTTTCAATCTGTTTTGGCAAATCCAACACTGTGATTATTTATTTAAATCTTCCTTTACCTATACAAAAATCACTATGTAATTCATATTATATATACAATTCTATATGAAATGAAACCAACTAAATAATTTATTTGTTCTTGTTTATGAACTGCGACTACAATACCACGTTGTATCCAGTTGAGCCGATGAATCAGACTGCTATTGCGAAACTTTGATATAATTTTAGAACATTATAAAATATTTTCCTCAATTGTAACTCGGCTATTTTACTGATAATAATTTATTATAAAACACCTTTAAGCGGTTGGCGGAAGAATTTAAATTTCCTTTTTTAAATTATAAACGCAGAAATATTTCGAATACCATTGTGAAAGGTTTAAATATTTTATTTTTAATATTTTTGTAATGTCAGCCTGCACGTGTTATTGCGTTGAGTATTGCCGCTTTTATTACAACGTTCAGCTTCAATTTCATATGTATAAAATGCAATCGTTAAATAATGCAGTTGTTGCACCTGTTTTTAAACCAGTTAACTATTGTATCGCTGCATTTATACTAACTAAATGTAGGTTACATTGTATATTGGATAAGTAGATTTTTATCGTGAATACGTCATTTCATTTTCGAGCTCATAGGAATATTTTTGCATATTTCCTGATATCCCGAACCGTCGATTTACTACAGTTTCTAGATTGAATTTTCGCTGACTTTATAAAATGCGTGGATTCCATGTCTCGCCTACTGGAGTGCGGCCGTCGAGCTAGTTCAGCGATATTGAAACTTAATGATGCGTTCTCAATAGCTACGTGACTGAAAAAATATTATTGCGTCTACATTCTGCCTAGAAGCGGTAGAAATTATCATTGAAGAGATGTTGGGATTGAAAATGGCTTGTTATCAATGCGCGGCTACGTTTTATTACTACCTAGCGACCTACGATTACTTGTTTTAGTAATTCTCTGTTTGAGCAACACGAAGTATTTAAAGTCAGCACGTATGTTTTATAAAGGTAAAAGTTAAATCTAACGTTAAACCCTTAACAGCCACTGACACACGTTTAAAGAAAAGTTATCTGAATTTAATTAGAGTCTACAAAACACCCGCGGTCTTAACGGTCGTTTTGTGAAATTGAAAAGAAAACTTTTCCCAACTAAGCTTGGCGGGTTTGAGAATGTGGAGGAGTTGAACCGGCTACTCGGGGCGGTAGTCGGCGTCCGGCGCCTGCGCTGGCCTTAACGACAGCTTGTTACTAGGAACCTTATTCGCAAGCCAGGACCGCAGAACTTTGCTCACTTCATAAACGGAAACTTTGCACCAATCGGCGAAGAACCCACCATTCAGAAATGATTTCGTTTTATTAGAGTTTTTTCACAGAAGAGTTGTGAGTTAACGGCCGCATCTAAGTTTCAAAGTTCATCTTCAATAGGAACGCGTAAATTAAAAATGTTTTTAGATTTTAATTCAATTAGTTTATCTTCTCTGTTATTACTAAAATAAATATTGTTCATTGCGTTGTTTTACTTACATACTCATTATAATATACATCCTATATTAAATTAACATAAATCTCGTATATTATTATACAATTGTATGACTGTTATGATGAGGAAAGTAACCTACATATTAATATATGAAAGTTATCATCGAAATAAAAATTATCCTGTAGTAATTAATTTTTCTTTGTCAATAAATAATTTACATTTTAATTCTTTTTTGTGGGGGTATATCGTCAAAAACTTTTCTCGCTCAAGATGAAGCTAGAGGGAGTGTCAGACTTTTACTGATTAAATCCACCCCGTTCTTTCCCTCCAGCTCCTGATTGAGGCCACTGAGAGATACCTTATTGCGGTTGCACAGCAACCCCAGCAGAAAACCGGCCCTATTGGGTCCGATTTGTGGTGGTCTGTTGACTCGTTTGAGGTGCGCATGTTATGCTACGCTCCATACACTCGGAACTAGTTATGATCGCCTTGCATAACCCCATGCTTGTGGTGTCGTCATATATCGTTATACGTATAAAATATAATACATATATACCTACAAACTTGCATGTCACATAGTAAAATAACATTAAAACGCAGATTGAAACATTGGCTATAACCTTACCGAGTCGCAATCGAAATAATGGGATTACTGGCATCGCAATAGAGGGGCTACTGGCATATATATTGCAAGTGTACACAAGACCGCAATACCGCGGTGTAATGATAGAATGTCCCCGGGCTGTGCACGTGACGCGATTGCCAACCTCACCACAACCCTGCTAACAGCGACATCTACTGTTTTCTGCCACATCTCTTTAACATACATATTGATAACGTGGATACTGTTACTATTTTATATTTTTACCGACTATTTATTGGGTTTCAAAAATACTTACTGATTTTTTTGTGTAATGAAAGTCTTTTTTCTTTTTCTTTCAAACGAAAAGTAAGGTTTCTGTGCAAAGAAATATCATGAACCGTACTTCAAGCTGCTGCAGGAACATAGTGTAGAAGTAAACTTTATGTAAATTGCACTTAGAAAGTTCTTTCTAGCACTTACCGAGTTACTTACACTTCTTTTGCTAGAAACAGCTTATCAAACTCATTGGCTGTAACGGGACCTTCATACAAACATTTACTAGCTTCGTATGGACCCAAACGTTTCGCATCACGTCAGAGAGTACGTCATAACGAACTTTTCCTGGCCGAAAGCCGACAACTTCTATAAATAATTGAACAGCTAACTTCGCTGGCGACTTCAGATGATAGTCCCAGCACTATATTATCGAAAGAGGAATCGTTTAAGTGTTCCAGAATATTTGCCGGCTCCCTAGAAGTTTTGTTAGTCATTTACATTCCTGTATTTAGAGTTGAATAAACTATGCAAAAGTACCTACGCGTAGAAATACGTATACGTTGTTTGTGACTTATCTATGATAAAGGTATCGAGTTTAAATTTCCATTTTCAATTCTATTTTTAAATTGATAAAATGATGTAGCTTATTTCGTCGATGTGTTTTTCTAAAAAAGGAGATTTCATGTCACTCACGATAACCCAAATTTTATAAATTTGCCCACGTGTAAGATAAACAGAACAAGGAAAACATCGAGCAGCTAAATATTAACATCCCAAAAAACTTCAAAGGGAAAAACTTGCGTGTTTTCGCCATTGGTATTCTCGAAAACTTGAGCAGTTTCCTTTATCAGCCTCCTTTGTAGATCCTTTGGAATGAGCTATTAAATAAATAGCTAGTGGCCCTTACCGCACCGAATAAAAGAACACGACCTTCCCTCTATCGCCAACAATGTTCGCAATTGAAAAATAAATCGAGCTCCCTTCGAATATATTTGTTCAGATATTTTGACTGAGACCCTCGTCACATCCTTTGTATTCCACCTATAAACATATTCCCTATCCAATTTATCCCACCAAACCGCGCCAGGTGAAAATAAAACAAGAAATATTCATTTCAAATATCGTTTATTTTAAAAGTTTTACGAAGTATTTGGTAACTTAAAGTATCACAAAATTAAAAATCACAATAAATTAAAAAATAAACATTTCAAAAAACAATAAAAATAATAACAAAATTGAATACACATCAATATCAAAAGTATAGGATTCAAGCTCGATGGGAATGTATTATGTAATTCCTATTTATGTACTTGTATAGTATCGTTTAATAGTTATGTACTTTGTTATAAAATACTGGAGTTAGAAGCTCTGGTTGTATGTTTTGCGTGAGGGTTTTAGCGTTATCACAGTGTTGGGCGAGTAAATACAGCGTGGTACGTGAACAGCTATAATTAATGCACATTTTACTTACAAAAATCATCTCCTACTACACGATATTTGGTATATATTCACTATTAGCTAGAATGCTCACACATAACTCACATTGACTAGTACAACTACTTTTGTAAGTAAAATGGTCAGCGTGAAAACATATTTCGAAAATATTAAAAAGTCATACATAAACTACTATCCCGTACATTGTAATACTGAATATCATAAGACAATCAAATATTTCATTAGTTATTATTATTATTATTAAAACTCAGTCTATTTGCTTTCACAAATTCATTTAAAAGTTTTTTGATATGCGACTTTGTACAAAATGATATTTGTGTCCGCACAAACTTTGGGCTCATTTCAATGTTGGCGTAAACGTACATTTCTCAAAACGTTGTTGTGGTTAAAGCCAGGATCGCACTTAACACGAATTCCTATTGTTAGCTCACTTGCAAATTCCAATAATTGATAGGATTAATGAAACTATCAGTTTGGTCCTCGCCAATTCACGATTATCTAAATTGGTTACATTTGAACTTCATTTGAAATTCATCTAAATCCTAGAGAAATTCGCTATACTAAAGTTTTCTCAATCAATATCTACCAATATGAATAATGCAGAATTTTTCGAATATCACATTACTAATATCGGATCATATTTTAGTTCTAGACTGACTATATAAAATTGGTTTTACTAGAATCAATAACACAGTTTCCATATTGGATCTACATATACATGATGCTCCTTTATGAATTTCTTAAACATATTTTATTGTTTTCTTCAACTACGGAAAAGGTCATGATTCCTTAACAATTTTTTTATTTGAATAGGTAGTAATACAATTGGGTACACAAAAGGAGGATTCAAGATGAGGACAGTGGGATTTACATCTCACAAAGGAACATGCTCTAACCAAAATAACATTTAGGATACATTTAGAGCCTTGTCATACAAGCGATGTCTGACGACTGGCGAGAGGACTGACGACGGTTTATGTAGGTACCTAATGTCGGCCGCCGTACATACATTTAGCTTAAGCTACGTTCAAGATGGGATCTTCTCCTCGAAAATCGGATAACATTGCATAATTCCTTGAGATATAACATAGGAGAGCTAGAGTTATAGGTAGACATATCATTCGATTTTCTGTCGTTGGTACTATGGTTGTTTGATGAGTCGCTCGGCTTTTTAAGATCGTTGAATCGATAAAGCTCCTAATATAATTGACATAAGGTTGTGTTTACACTGGTGCTTTAGTGCAAGCGTTGATGTCTCCGATGCTCTTGACTCGTCGATGTCGCTTCTGCTTGATAATCGCATCGTCTGCTGACTTGGCCGGGAGAGGGGAGCTCACCCGATGTGCTTGGTCCGCTTTCTGTCCGTACCTTTAGGAATGAAAGATTGCCATTTAAAACTAAATAGTTTCCACCTACTAAATATTAACTAATTTTGTTTTATTGAAAAGTGGATGTAATAGCTCCCGCCTCAAAAAGGCTTCGAAGAAAAACAACAGTTTAAAGTACCCGGTAGGTTGTAGAAGGCGCGTGTATTATTGTGTTATTATTTGTACGAGATTTTATAGTAAGTACCTACTTTATAAACATCAAATAATTATCTTTAATGTAAAACCTCGATGCGCGGTTTGTTAATTTATTGGTGAAAACTACAGCAACTGCTAAATAAAAAGGCTAAAAACAGAGGCTTTAAAGAGAACAAGAATTATTCTTCCGATGGTACCTAGTAAAAACATAGATTTATGTTTGAGCTGCTTGCAAGTTATCTTAGTATAGTTTAGTGGTTTAGGATAATTAGACAGTAACAACCACGAGTAAATTACCTATTTACAATTTTGTACAACCTACACGTTTGTTACACCTAGTAATTTCTATTAATATACCTAAAGAAATATAGATACACACAACTGTGCATTGTGCAATAACTGGAATTACGTTTTAAGCTTTGTCTCCCTAATAAAACATATTTTAATAATAAAAAATAAGCTGTGTTCGCTGTGTCCAAAAATAAATCCAACGGAAAAATAGACATTCAGTTCTCATGAATTCGTACTTATAAAGTTTAATATCGGTTAAAATCTATAAAAGAAGCTTAAAATAAAAGATTCCGACATACTAAAGAAATAAATAAAAATACATTTTAAAATAATAATGTCCATTTGCATTGTTGATCTTTCCGTCGTCGCAGATCAGACTGTTAAATAAAAACATGTTTGTGGAGCAGATATAATAAAAAAAGTTAGTATTGGATTTATTAATATCACTATTGACCTACATTATTATGTGATAAGATTATCACCATTAGTGTGATGTATTACTTCTATTACATATTATAAATGTGTGCCAAGAAATATTTTGGAGAATATCATCATATCATCGTTATATAGTGATATATTTTGAAGATCAACTTACCTATGTGTAATACTAGAATTTTCCTTGATATCGTTCAGCCTGGTGAGGCTGTCTCTGGTGGATACACTGGACTGCGAGTACAGGCTGAGTGGTGTGTATATCGGCTCGTATTCTTGCAACGTTGGAGGTGGCGCGTATGTCATGCTGAGCTGCGATAGTGTCCGCACGGCTATCGGCGGCGAGTATGAGATCTGGTAGGGCTGCGTCAAGCTCAATACACTCGAACTTTCACTAGAACTCGACGGGGAAGTTCGCTCGTGCTTCGGTTTCAACACCCCTAGAGCTCGGGTTATTGAACCCTGGAAATAATTTTGTTACTATAGTTGCTATCGATAATGTCTAATTTTGTGTTTCCTTGAAATGAACTTACCCTCAAACTATGCCTTCTGGAATCCCCACTGAGGTCTATGCCTGGTAACCCAGTGGCAACGGACCTCGAGAACGGTCTACCCAACATCCTGATTTGGTGACCGAACAAGTTTCTGAAAACCAATTACAACATGATTTCACTACACCATGGTAGTAGTACAAATTTGAGACCACATAGAAGCCAGGCAGAGCGTAGTTTGCGTTAGTTACGGTCGCTTTAATCTCTCAAATTTGCACTTATTTGTGTTTAATATTCGCTAACACAAAAAGCTGACATGCAAATTCTTTATAATTATATTTTACAGATGCCATTTTGGACCTTACTGCTTTGATTCCTAGCAGACAAATAAACGCAAACATTTTTATATCCACAGACTTATTTCATCGGAAGCTACAAGAGACATTTAATAAAAAGTGAATATTAATTTTATAATATTTTGCATAGACATCAAAAGCATGATGCACTTTGCTGAAATGAAACGAATCATGCTGATTGTGTACGAATAAGGATATAAATAAAAATATAAACACGAGTAGAATTAATGGATTGTATGACAACGAATAGTACTGAGCCCCATTATTGATATTGGAATTGAGAAGAACATGTTTTCGATAAACACATTAGAAGTATACAGTACTCTTCCTTGTGCGCTTTAATCAAAATAACAACAACAATATAATCAAAATGTCGTAACTAAATCCATCAAGCACGAAATGTCAACGTGTTCAAATGGAAAGTATTGAGTTATAAAACAAAACGTAACGTTACGAGGAAGGAGAAAATGTGGACAGAGTCTGATTATTATGTAGTGCGGACTAATGATGATGACAGAGAGGCATTCATGATGTATCGATAAAATGATCGTTACCGTTCTGTCTCGATGCAAGGATCGCCGAGTTAGGGTGATGGATAATAAAAAGAAACTGACTCGATGTCCCTTAGGTTTATCTTTTTCATCAGGATTTATTCACATTTATAGTTCAATCGATATCGTTACAGGTGAACCTAATATACAATGTTGTCAACTTTACAGTATGAATGTATACAAGTCAAAAACATAGTTATCTTACAGTATTAGTAAATGCTATTATTGTTATAATCCTAAAGCTATGGTGATGGTTCCGTTTTTACACCTATGAATATTCAATTGTAAAGGTTTTAAAATCCACGACATTATTACAAATTACTTCGAAACTGTTATTAAATTGAAAGGAATCCTCATTAATAAGTTTAGTGAATGCAGGTAATGGGATATGAGTTACCCCCTATGGATAATACGAAGCATTTCATGCTTATATCTTTATAATACCAACTAAGTTGTATACATTTACTAGTTTACGAAATTGATCAATATCAATAATTAACATTAACGTGACGAATCTAATCTACGGCAAGATCGGGACTCTAGGGGGTCACAATGTCCAACATTGAATCTAACACTGACGAAGGCGAAGGTACAAAACAAAATCACTGTGAACGTGTCCGATCGCTCCAACTTTTTGATAACCTTTACTTACAAACCACGATCCCTACGATAACTTATCAGTCTTCACCGCTCGTAAAGTTTTCCATCAAAAAAGTTTCAAAAAACGAGCAAGTTTGACGGTAGATAGATACAAAATTTTCTTTCGCAAAGAAAATATTTTGTGTAAAAATAGCGAATTTACAAACGTTTTCATACAGGAAATTTTACATAGATACAGGTTTGGGCACCGAAGCAATAATTTATTTTTTAAATGAGAGTTTTTTGATTTTCGTTGGTTTATCTTTGTTTTGTGGACAACATGGATGCTCGGGCAGCCTCCACTTGCAGTTCTTCCACCTGGCAAAATATCGTATACCTGCAGGATTGCACCTCACATTATAATCAACTACAGATGCTCACGGGCACGGGGTATTCTCTGGCCAGTGCCACTGTGCCACTGGTCACTAGCTCACTACTCAAGGTACTCATACAAGTGGTTGCATGCAGAGTGCGTCGCACCACACAGCGTTGCTCCACGCACATACCTCGTAGTATATCACAATGCGTTATGGGACAAACAATCTAAGAATTTTGTAATGGTACTGTGCTCATTGTCACCAACAACTGCTAAATATATTCAAGATATAATATTTCATTCATATCATGTAATACAAAAAGAAAATATAACATTTACTAAGATAAATACAATTGATGAGAAACATATTGAGTGATAACTTGATCGATGACTATAAATATTTACGAAATTGGTGTCTGAAGTAAATATTATATTTTCTTGTTCTGACATATAAATGAGTGATTAGTTGACTCACCTCGCTGGTATGACGAGAGCGTCAAATTCGGCTACCAAGTGTCTTCTAATAATACTCTTTGATGGAGGAATGCCGAGCGCTGTCGCCATTGTCTCCCCGGTGAACGAGGGCTCGAGTACCACAAGCCCACCATGCACTCCACTGTCTGTTGTCATAAGATTATCAGCTACGTGACCATCTGTCCTGGTCCGGATAACATTAGCAAATACACTACGGGCCACCTTACCTTTGAGATTATCCGCAAATTCACCTAAATCAATATTGTGAGCCCATCGCATAAACCTCTGATTGGTCCAAACTAAGGGGTCGGCGTCGACGTTCTCGCATTGGTGCCGCCTGACAGCGAGCGCCTACAACAAACAAAGATTTTGTAAAAACTTAACGATGATTGATCAGCGCGGGTAATTTATAGCGCTGGAAATAAGAAGAGAAATAATAAACGTGATGTAACAGGTTTTTAGCTAACTGTCGACCAAGCAGGAGCGGAGTGCACGATGATTAATGGGTGTACATTACGGGGGCACGGCAATGCGAGACGGAACATTCTGTTCCAGCTCATTGGATAATCGCTCATTTGCTTTCCGTTATCTCACCCCACTTATCGGAAGGGACGTGGAAAGGTTTTCTCATTTCGAGCCACGCAATTTGTAAATGAGATGAAGAGTGTAATTTATTTCATTGTCATCTTTAATCTATCTTCATTCCTTTTATTTATATTATCTGCGATAAACCCTTCTTACGCTTTAAGCCGAATACAATTCGAAGGGGTGACAATTTCTTTTGAAATTTGAAAAACGATTTTAAACTAACCTGCCGATCGTACTTCATTATTCTAAGCAGATGGATGCCGTGTACGATAGAGGCCTGATGGAACTTCCTGGTGACTCCGAGATATTTCTCCAGTTCCTTCTTGCTGATGGTGTCGAGCATGCGAGCATCCACTAGATTTGCCAGGAATGACTCAGCGTACTGTTGGACAAAAGTTAATTAACGGTGTTTCTTCAAATTTTTCTCATAAATGAAGGAGATATTGTTTAACATCTACATGAAAGAGAAAATACCACTACGCTTGAATATTCAAATACCTGTGACAGTCCCAAATCTGGCAGCCACTCAGCGGCGACCCAGGCGTGCGTCAACTGCCCTATACTGGGGTTCCTGACGAGGTCCGGTCTCCTCCGCTCCTCGATGGCGAGCCTCAACTTCTTGCGGTGCATCGGCTGCGAGATGCCCAGCCCCACCTCCAGGTCCGCGTCAGACAGCTCGAGCAGAACCTGCCCATTCAAAGCACGGATCTAGAACCAACCAGAACACAATATTTGACGCTTAATGCGCGTCTCTCGCTCTACTACATATACTCCTACCAAATTATGATGACGCATATGATTTTGTGAACGAATCACGAAATAAATAACTTTTGATGTTTGTTCGTGATATTCGTTTTGTGTCTTGCATTGAAATGCCTACTGGAAAGTCTGATATCAACATATAAATAAGCGAATTCTGCTATGAATTTATCTGAGGGTGGTGTATCGGGCCCTGATTTCCATACAGATCTAATAAAATGAGCGCATTCCGAGTAATGAATGGGCCTGTAGGTATGTAATGAAAATGCTTTTTTATTCCATTCATTACATGAGAAAATATAATCCGTTGGAACAATGGAAAGTTATGGCCGAATGTTCGAAACGTAAACATTGATTTTGGCTTTTGTGTTTAAATAACCGAAAGTGAATGGCTAATTTTGTTCAAATTTTAACAATAGCAATTGGCAACATTGAACGTTGTAAAAATTTATCATATTTTAAATTTAGGTTGGTTTTCTAACTTTTTTAATGCATTGAGTCCATAATGGTTAATACGATTTGTGCTAATAGTGTTTGAAGCCTCATATACTTAAACGCAACAGAGCATAAGTAACCTCGTTTTACTAACATTATTCTACATTTAGTACAGTTTTCTTTTTATTTACTAGGTTTTTAAACCGTTATGTATCTAGATTAGAAATAAAATTTGCTGTAGTTAATAATATAAAAAAAATAATGACAAAGAAAAAAACAAGAAATTCTATAAAATTATCGAAAGCATCGTAGTTTATCTACTATTTAAGAATTTATGAACGTACTAAGCTGGTACGGAAGTGAAGCTGTGATATTCGAAAACAATATACCTAGTGGGGGAACTTCGGTGACACGGACTACGTGTGATGAATAATACATTTGCGCTGTCACTGGCGATTTTAATGTCGGCGACGTAGTTCAAATACAAGTGCTTAATCACAATAATGGTGCTGACATGTGACGTCTAGAGGTCGTATTGGTTTTGAAGCGTAAACACTCATTGCAAATAAACCTACATACTTCCCCTTATAGTGTGCTTATCAAGGTCATTATTAAGTTTCAGAAAAAATCCTTTGCTATTCCTAAAGTATACTTCCCAAAGCCTAGTTTTTACTTTCGACTGAAGCTGAAAAAAATCTTCTACTTTTCTTGTTTTAAATAATTAATACTGTTCACCTATTATTGAGTAAACACGAGTTAATAAAGCCATGCAGTGAATGCTGTAGGGAAAGTCAAAATCTCTTTTACTTAGTACGTACCTTTCCGCTCTTGACATTATCAGCAACTGCAGCAGCGTATTGTGGCATTCCAAGCGCCAGTTCCAGCCACGCAATAATGGCGGGCGCGCGCCATCTTGAAAGTGGCAGCGACGCAGCCTCCCTCAACGCGGCCTCACTGCCCAACGGCGACCAAGCGCGAGTGCTACCAGTACCGGAGTAGATCGGCTCTGAACAACAAGCTATATTAAAAACATTGAAAATATTGATTTGTGACCTCATTAGGTCACCCGGAGGCTCCCTATGTATTGTTGGTACCTAAAAACACGAGGAAGTTATGATTAAATTGTGTGTGTTTTGTGTGTATTGAGAGCAGGCAATTGAATTTATGATTTACCAGTTATCTTATAAAAAAGGCTTAAATATTACTATTATGATATTTTGCAAACAAAGGTAATTTTGCCTTTTAATTATTGTGGTTGACATGATATTGATGTATTTGTAGTGTTTCCTACACTCACCACTTTCATGGCCGCTGATAGCGGCACTGCCGGACTTGGTGCGGTGCCGGGAACGTGCGAACACTCGCGATATGGAACCCCACGCCGAGCCCCGGCCACGAGCTCCCTTACTGCCGGCACCTGATCGTCCACGTACACCGCCAAGCAGGGCTGCCTCACACTCGCCAGGGCTTGATAGTTGCTCCACAGATCTGATGCAATTGTTTAAATTGCTGATTTCGTAGAAGACTATTGCATTTTTTTTTATATGCAACCATTTTCTCTGGTGATGTATCAACGTTTAATACGCACTTTGAGTGAGAACTGTACATAGAATATATTATAAGTTTAAATTGCTCGATAAAATAAGGAAACAAAGGCTATTTATTATATCTAGACGATCTATAATCGCACAAAGGTAGAATTAAGATTTGACACTCAATATAACGGTGCCATTTTACAGAGCGCCCCGGCTATCCGGCTCTAAAAATATTGCGAGATGAAAGATATAAAAGGTACCCCGTGAACAGTCGTGGAAAATGAAAAAGAATTAAGCCGGAAGAAAATGTAATTTCGTGCAACTATTGCTGAATCGTTGCCGGAATCGTGTAATACTCGATAAATTTTACTGTCAAAATTCGATAATATCACTAGAAATGATAAAGTGCCTTGTAAATGTAAGAAAGTAGCAAATGGTTCTAGTTCTTGTCCTAGATAACGGTTGTTACGTTTATCAAGTTAACCAAGTTAACCTATGTCGTATCACGAAAACGTTTTCAACAAGAGATCCATAATTTAGGTATATACAGTTAGGGGTCAAAAATGCAATTGCACTCTACCAATTTTAAAGTGACCAAAATATCTTTTTAGAATAGAGTCAATGGTTGAGGATTGCTTTAATTTATAGCATAGAATCTAAATTATTGAATAAACTGGTTGTGAACCATTGAACTTTTGCTACAAGGAAATTTTAGTCATTTTAAAATTGGTAGAGTGTAATTGCATTTTTGACCTCTGACTGTACCTTGATTACAAAGATTACAAGTTTTAATGCTTCATTAATTTTTATTCTGGCTAAGTATCAACCAATTCTTAGTTAATATATTAGTATTGAAAAAAAGTGAGGTGGAAATGATAACACAAACCTTGATAGAGATCCAGCGTCGATGGAGCGTGTGAAGGGCGATGCGCTGTTGTGTGGTGATAAAGTCGGGCTGCAGTCACGTGGTGTGCTCACTAAGACAATAAGTTTACTTATGATAAAGGCTACACTTCGAAACAATCTTTTTTATGGTTGGAAAATCATCCTATGAATACTCCCGAACCTCCCTGAACATGGCTAGATGGGTTGTACGAATCTTAGTGATTAAAAATCAATCTGTTTCTTATTCTTGTCCGAGCGGTACATTACCCGTTAGGTAAACACTTTTTTTTTGGTAACGGAGGGAAACCTTCAAAAGGCGCCTAGCTTTTTGGGGAGAAAGACTAGGGAGTGTGGGATTTTTACCTCACTAAAACCACCCCGGTGGCCACCCTCATCACCTGTAACCACCCCGGGTCCTCTACAAGAGACCTACTCCGGAACCCCCACGGTGAAACGCCTGTGACGGCACATCCCTCGAGAACGGGCCTCGCTGTGTACGGCGGTACGCATAGCGGTACGTGACCACTGTACCACCGTCTTCCCTGGGACCACTGAATGAGCACCTAGAGTCCCCTCTCTATGCACCCAAAGGTCCGCCTGAATTTCACGCAGGCGGGATTCGGCGTATTAGGCGTCAAGGCGGTTGCCTCCGCGACGCCTTTTACGAGCAGGATCGGCCCTCTCGCGATCCCGCTCAGCAGCCTCCTTTTGGGACATAACAGTCTCGCAAAACGAGGCCACTTCCCTACCCGTTAGGTAAACCTAAGAAATACTTCGCCAAAGAAAGCCAAAACAAATTTCGACAAACATGAGGTTTAAAACCGTTTTGCTCATAGCCAATGAAGCATAAACCATTGATTTATGGAACCGAAATGAATAAAATACATCCATTACTGAATCGTATCAAAGGGAATGTCTACGTATTGAACCGCGTTTATTGTCGCCATTCTAATGTGAAACGTACAATATGCACACAATATATGTAAAGTACGCGAAGCTTACAAACTACTTTATATTACTCAAGCTTTTATCCCCCGACGGGATAAAACGAGCCGATGCATCTATCGGAGGCTCGTGTAAGAAAAATGTTCGCAGTAAGTACCGAGACGTGAATCCAGTCTTTTTTTTGCCAAATAGAAGTACCATTTTCGCAATCCTATAATTTGAAGGCGTCTGAATGGAAGTTTACTATCTCTTCCATTATTGTCGTCAACCAAAAATATGCGAGGAACTTGTAGACATTAAGATGCTGAATGTTTGTATCTGCGCAAGATAAAATTTTACTATTCCATTTTTAGAATGTTAAAAAGTTACAGGTATGTGAATTATTTATTATTGGTAAACTTCTAAGTTACTTGTACTTTGTAGGCTCGTTATATTTACTTAAATCAAATATCTACTGAAAAATATAAAAAGAGGTTTTCTTTAAAAAGTTTTGAACAAAAACCAATCACGATTTCCTAACACAATAAAAAAAAAACTGTTCGCTTATTCCATTAGCAGATTTTTACAAAAGAAAATCACTTCAATTGTTACAAAAGTATTGGGTAAAAGCGAATCCCGATATTTGAGTCATAAAATCCAATGAAACGAATTTATATCGATTATAATAAAAGTACATGGTAAATTTAAATTGAATAAAGTTCTCAATTTCTGAAAGTTCGTTTTGGAAAAGCGTTGTTTTCTAAAATTTTATTGTTTGATGTCCGTTGAGCGTGGCTGGTGAAATAGTATAATATTGACTGCTGCCTCCATCAATATCAGTTGTTTAACTTTACACAATTTAGAATGCAGAATGCGTTGCAAATTGTTATTTAGCATACTGTGGAGTTCCATCATTTGCATTTAACAATGTTTCAATTCCCGGCCATTTTTGTTGACGTAATTTGTGCTACGCTCGTTTTAACAATAGATACTTTTATAGCTATTGGTTAATACCTAGTATTTTATTACTTTATCAATATATGTAAATGAAACTAGCGATCAGCCCCTGCTTTGCAGGGGTCACCAACTATCTTGCTAACGACGAAAGGGACCTTATTCCCCAGCAATTCCCTTAACTTTTCTGAATATTTTTTTTATCCAAACCTTTTCCTGACTATAGCAATCACACTAAAAAAATAATTGGTAAAATTGGTCCCGACATTGTTGAATTATGCGCTTACCAACATATTTTGCAATTCATTTTTATATATATAGATAAATTTTCATACAGCATCATTTTTAGAAAATATTAATAAGAACCAATTTAAATTCTAAGCTGACTTCAGAGTTTTGACATGGAAACGAGTATATTAATATTCTTCAAAAACAAACCAATATTGTTAATATTAAAGTAGAACGTTTACCATAGAGAGACCGATATCATTATGCTTGTTTTCAACGTGAGCGAGTTGCAATCCGCTTTATTTTCCAGCCGAATCATGTAAATCATATTTCACTTCATAACAACAATTCCGTACGTCGCGACGCTAAAAGGGATTCGTTTAACTTAAACTCATCAAAAATTAACAACGAAAATTCGACATACAGATAAATTTGTATCTATATGAAATATAAAGCGGATTTTGTACTTAATAAAATACTTTTTGTTTTATTATCGTACCACGGCGCGTCCCGAATTGTTGGTACAGATGAGAATATTATATGCTGCGATACATTTGCTAATCGGATTAAAATAAGTACTTTCATGTGGCTCTATAATTTTTTGCCTTTATTTTATGGGAATCGATTTATTATTATGTACCTTATCACTACGTAGTATAAAACAAAGTCGCTTTCTTTGTCTCTATATCCCTATGTATGCTTAAATCTTTCAGACTACGTAACGGATTTTGCTGCGTTTTTTTAATGGACAGATTGACAGATGAGGAAGGTTTTTCTGTATAATGGAGTGTGGTATCCATTAAATGGTGAAGACATTTTGGATCAGGATTACACCCGAAGGTTTTTTTAAATAATAGGTCAGACGGATTATCTGATGGTAAGCAATCGCGCGGAAACCCGCAACAAAGGAGTTGAGGAATTTAGAGAGTGTTGGGGGAGGAGAAGGATTGGGCCTCCGGTAACCTCACTCACACGGCAAAACACAACGCTGTCGGGGCAAATCGCTACTTATAATAATAATTTATTGATACTTGATATTTATTGTACTTACGTTGATAGATATGGTGAGCGGATGACACGAGGGATGCGGCGTCTGTGTCATAGGCATCCAGTGTCGGCGGTGCGCCTTCAGCAGTAGAGTCTGATAGATTTCCACCACACACTGAAGTGGCACCACCATCGCTGCTGCCTATTACCATAAATTCTTTTAATTTAATACTATACACAGTTCAAGGGACGATGACAGAAATTGGAATTAATCAGATATTACAATTAAAATATTAGAAACTTATCCCTATCGTCTATGCCTATATATCGTCTATGTTCAAACCTCTAACAGGGTCAGGTTTTGTATTAGAATCTTATTTTCACGTACCTTCAATTTGAAATATAAAAAAAAAGAAAAACCTTACTTTGTGGTATGGCCAGTATTGTTTTATTTTGTCGTAAATGTTTTATTGCCATCAAAAGTTTTGAATGTAGATTAGTAGTAGATATCATCAAGTTGTAATATGTACTTACCTACTATTTTCCGTTACCATTTTGGGATTGGTAAGAATTAAGTTTGTTTTAAACATTTCTGTTAGAATTAGGCTTATAAAAGCCAAAATCTATTATTACCATCACATATCATTAACTTATTCTTTGAATATCATCTTGATGTGCTTTTATTTTTTACCTCTAACACCAGAATCAGCGCTGCAGCTGCCTCTGTCTCCGATCAATCCCGAAGGTCCTCCCAACATCATTGGCGGTCCCATGCCAAGAGACGCCACGCTCTCGCCCTCCGACAGACATCCTGCGGCTTGCAACTGTCTTCTAGCCTGTATATGTGTATAAATCATTTTAAATATAAAACAAAAATATACAGCACAGAGAGGTACGGTGTCAAAACTTCGAGACAGAAACTTAAAATGCTGTCTGTGAAAACATCATTAAAGTCCGTTATAATACTGTGAGATTACTGCGGACAGATATAAACATGAATAGGTTTAAATAGGTATATATATATATATATATTATGTGATAGATCGGCAAACGAGCAGACGGATTACCTGATGGTAAGCAATCGGCGACGCCCATGGACACCCGCAACAAAGAAGGAGTTACGAGTGCGTTGCCGACCTTTTAAGGATTGGGATTTTGGGGATTTTGGGATTGGGGTAGCGGAAGGATTGGGCCTCCGGTAACCTCACTCACACGGCGAAACACAACGTTGTGGTTGTTTCACGCCGGTTTATGGTATATTAATAGGTATCAGTGATATACAACATCGTTTGCTTACAAATCAACTACGTAATTCGTATGCGTTATACATGTTTCGAACGGAATAACAAGCACTTCACGTGACTGTCCTCGTAAAAATAATCCGGGAAACATATTTCACAGTTAACATGTAAACTTACACCGGGCACATATGTTCGGAGCAAACGTAATGACATCCCAAACACGATTATAGTTATACCTACATCGCAACACCCTTTTAATGCTTCAATTAATTTCGATTGGGGCTTTAATTTGGACAGGATTTGTCCGCTCGAATGGGACATCCCGTTGCGAGCCCGTATCAACGTAATGGTATCGAATGTACCGCGGTCACAGGTTAATATCCGGATTATGCGTAACGGAAAATTGTATAATAACAACCGACTTATAGTACTAAGTCGGGGAAACAGTTGCGTTTAATTTTCCCTGCAATTTAAATCAGAGGGAGCAATTTGAAATGGTAATTAACACGAGTGATGGATGGTCTCGTCCCGAGCGCACATCACGCCACCTATTCGTCATAGCACCGAGCTGTCGATAAAAGTTTATTTATTATTGGTCGAAACACTTCATCAATGAAATTGTTCGTCAAAACAATTTCGTTTAATATTGTGGATACTGTTTCGATTGGAGGCGTTTCATTAAGTGAATCTCGTGAATTTATATCCATACCAATTCCCTTTAATATACTGTGAAATTAAATACGTAATTGAGTGTAGTTATTACTATCAGACTGAAATGGTATTTTCGGCATGTAAATCATATTTAATTTAGCGGTTAATTCAGTGACGTCCACGACGATATTCACGATTACTATGGTATACCTACCTCAAAGAGTTGTTCTCGTGCATGTCTCAGTTGCGTGTCCCTCGCACTGAGTGCGGCCGCAAGTTGTAGAGAGCGCTCAGCTTCATCCCGAGCATGACGCAGTAAGGCAGCTCGCTCCCGCTCACGTTCAGCTCGCTCCGCTCCTAAAGCTGATGAAGCTCCACCCCGCGAACGCATCTATACATCCATAATTATTTAAAAAAATAGACGATGCTACTAAAGAAATAAACCACATAAAATAGTCAGTAAGTTTCATTTAAGAAATGCTAGAAAAGACCATTAAGAACTTAGTTAGACCTGATGCGTTGCAGAAGACTTTATTAAAGTCAAGAAGTTCATGAATAATTATTCAAAGTTAGTACTTAATAAAAAGAGCAAGACTAGCAAACTCATCGTAGCCGAGAACAATGTAGGATAATAACTTGAGATACGCGAGCATTCACCGTGAAGTTTCTGTATGTGTAAAATTCTATAAGCTTGGAATCAAGTGAGGAACTTCTGTATGACCTAGATCCTATCCGAGCGTAACGAGCCTTGCAAACGTGGCTAGATCAAAAGATATGGCATAATAAATTAAGTGACCACAATGTTGGCTACACACAGTAATGACTACGTTAATGATACTGAAATATTTTGTAACAAAAGGCCGACCCCATTAACTTTTTTCATTTTGGGACCCAACGTAAGTAACAAATTCTTTTACGTGACAACGCATTTCCCTCGCTCCATCTAACAACATTACTGTATTACTTATTATACGAATATTATAATATAATGTTTCATAATACAGAAATTGCTTTTCACCTGTTCGTAGTTTCTTATGAAGTCTCGGAGCTCTTTCTCTTTGTCTTCGAGAGTGGCGTAGAGTTGTTTCATTTGGTTTAGTAAATCAAATTTCTCAGCTTTCAACCTCTTTTTGTCTGCTTTCAAAGCTGAAACAAAATGTATAAACTTTATACAAAGTCCATTATGAAGTAAATTTTGATATAAGACCGTTAGGTAGAGAGAAGAATAAGATAGTTGGATAGGTATGTGACTTACAACAATTTCATTTTGAAATACAAGGATAGGGTCTCATGTTTGCGGGCTTGTAAGCGACAAGCTTGTATGTAGAGTAGCTGTACCAAGCAATGCATGTCTCAATCCCGAGTGATTCGAAAGTCTTTGAGCAAGCTGCTCGCTTTGGGGGCCTACGTCCTTTGTCGCTCCGCTCTCTATGCAGATCCCCTCATCTCGGACATTTGTACGTTTTCAACGTTTGATAGGAAAATAAAACGCATTCGAGAGTGATCTACATTTTACCATTTTTGCAGAATCGTACGGTAGATCTGTCGATCGTATTGATGAAGCCATTACTTTGAAAGTTTGAAAATTGGAATTTGGTTTCGAGCACAGATTGGCCAATCTTCATGAATTTGTCGCTAATAGAACTTTGCTAAACTTTTATGTTTTTTTACAAGTATAGTTACAATAATTTGAGACGCTTTCATGTTATTGTTCAGACAAAATAAAAATGTAAGTAGATTTGAAGAACGGGCACTGACTAATTGAATGACAGTTTTATTGATTGGCACATAAGATCCATTATATCTATATTTTTGGTATTTACAAAGCTATGTATCTTAACAATAACGTTTTTAATTGGCAAAACGGTATTGAATGTGCCATGTAATCGACATTCAATCTTAACCCTCCACTGGGAAAGTAGTCGACTTGTATCATGCTAGTTAGTTTATACATTGATGTGGTTTATGCGTAGGAAGGCAACAGGCCTGGATTGTGGTTTCATCGATCACGTGGAACAGTTGGGTACATAAGGTAAACATATTAGATGTACCTTTGTAAGTTCCTGCCACAAACTCAAACAGAGAGACTTATTCTGGTTGTTCTTGTGTTTTTGTAGTTGTATGTAGAAAAGTGTATACAATTTGGTAAGATATTTCGAATTATTCCAAAAATGCTGTAATACACAAGTGTGAAGACTACTTTTATCCTTATACCTGAACGACTAGCTAATAGACAGAGAAAGAAGGTGATAAAAAATAACGAAAAAGTATTTGTTAAAAAATAAAAATATGTATGTTGCCTGTCCATTTCTACGTTTGTGGATCAAAAGACTTTAGCTGAAGCGTTGTAGCGTACTGAGCCATGGCCGAGTCTGGAGTGACAGACAAACGACGAACACAAAAAATTCGAAATATCTACGTGCTTACAAAACACTGAATTCACTAAAAGTGACGACAGAAATAAAATAAAACTTCAACACATGTGCGATAATAAAACAAGTTTTGTGACTATAGCGAAGCCACATCCGAAATAGGTGTACGGCTTATTTGCTTGATTCAGTCTCTGAACGTGACTTCATTATTTCGTTCTTGTCATCGCCCGACCTCGAATAAAGACGAAATAGGCTCCACCGAGGTACACGGTAGTCTAACTTGGTAACATTTCCAATTATAATTGAACAATTTAGTTCAATCTTAGTCACGGAATTACATTAGTCTAATTGGCTAAACTGATTCGATGTAGTTTTAAAAATGACTTGGTATCACGTCACGTCTTAATAACGTCGTGGTAATACGGAGGTTAAGGCGTTCGCTTCTAATGCATGTGGGGTTCGACGATAATTATTTAGACACCACAAACATGGTGACAAAAAACATCGTGATGAAATTATAACGGGGTGTTATAATTTCTAATTCTAAGTTTCAAATCGCCAATCGCTTTTGAGCAAGCGTGGTGATTAATGGTCAAACCTTTTCTGTGTGATTAGAGACCTGTGGTAGAGACCTTAGCTCAGCAGTGGGTACTTATAGGCTGATGATGATGTTATATCACGACTGTTGTTTTCAGAGTGGTGTAGGTATGTATTTTACACTGTGTATTTGGAATTGGGTAGTTTCCTAGGTCAAAAATAAATTAATTCGATGTTTCAATACTATAAAATATTGAAAAATAACTATACTTTTATTCATCGATCGATCGATACACCAAGTTTTAGATTTTTTAAGCTAATTATTGTGAAATAAGTAAGCTATTTGACGCAAAAATGTAATGACGTCATAGCTCAGTTTTTCATACAAATTTCATAGAAAAGTATCGTTTTTAACCTTTGGATAAAAGTATTGAATTTGACTAGTTGGAAACTACCGTTTTTGACTAGACGGATAGTTAGATAATACTTTTTTTTTAAATGTTAAAAACGACAATTTTCTATTAATCTTGTGTGAAATAAAACGTGGTTACATCATGATCTTATAGCGTCAAAGAATATGCTGATTTATCATAAATTTTCAAAAAAAATATGATTAAATTGAGTATATCGAAAAATTAATGGTTGCAGGTGTGATTATTTTTTAGTATTTTATGCTAGTAAGTTGAAATACCAATTCTATGAGGTTTACATGCCATAGTCATGAAACTATTACAGAATATTTTCAACTGAAAAATATCAGGATTTAAAAGTTGAATCCCTGTTATAGAACCGTAACTTGCAAGGGCTAAAGATGATTGGATTGGTGACCTAGTTATCCGTTTTATGGCGTACGTAAAATTAGGCCAATGGATATTATACGAATACCGTTACGTATGTTATAAAACGCTTATCCATAACTGCTTTGCAACTTAGATAAATTGAAAAGGTAAAAAAACTTGAAAACTTTTGAAATAACTCATTTATTGATCCTTTTTACAGAATAGTTTTAAAAAACAATTCTTTTCATGCAAAATCTCATAAATAATGACTTATAACGAAGTAATGGCACCAAAATAAGACAGTTTTATGCAACTAAATGATTAATGGGAGCAGAAGTTCCCAATCTTTCCCCTTCCCCAATCCCTCCTCAATGCCTAAATCTCCAAATCCCTAATCCCTAAAAGGTCGGCAACGCACTCGTAACTCCTCCGTTGCGAGTGTCCATGGGCGGCGCTGATTGCTTACCATCAGGTAATCCGTCTGCTCGTTTGCCGACCTATTACATAAAAAAAAAGTTCATCACAACTTGCTCACGAAATTTAATTTAACTGATATGTCGCTGTTATGGGATGGAATTGATATCTTTTGCGAGACTCTTCAGTGTATTAGATATATCAGTTTTTGTAGGATAATTGTTGTTCGTAGATCAGAAATTTTCATGTTAGGGATAGGCATATGTTGAGGTACGTAAAAGACTATTCGTTGTGGAGAGAAACATTAATATGAACTTTAAAAAATAAAGTACTTTAGTACAATTTTATTGCTCAAACTTCAGAGTGAATACAACTTTAAGCTCGTTAAACAAACAAAATTATTCAACTATTTATGTTACTAGGTAATATGTACATAATTTGCCAAAACATGCCAGGGGCGCGTTTCTGACAACTTTCGTCAGTGTAATGACATTAGTGGAAATGTCAGTGGAAGTTAGAGAAGCACACCCTTACAGGGACGTGACCCGCTTACTGATTTGGGTCTGTAAGGCAGTGTACCTTGCGAGATATTATGAGCATAGTTTATCAAAATGTCGGCTTCCTCACGCTTCTCCCGTATCGGGCCGCACTCAACAAATTGCCCACTTTTGCGGGATCGAATCGGATTATTGAGATAAAGTCACTGTAGGTGGAAGTTCTCTGTATATTCGGGTGGAAAATTGTCTATTTAAAATTCACGTGACGTTTAGAATGTTGTTAATGTACTATCGCATGTTTAATACAAAACAGAAGTAATTCAAAAAACAGTGAGTATCAAAATTGAACCTTATTGTAAAACATATTTTGTTTTAATTCGAATACCTTCTTTTATGACTTAGGACTCTTTTCAATAAAGCCTATGATATTAGAAAAAGAATAAAGTTTAAACGACCCAACATTTTCCTTAAAAACCAACAATAAAAATGTAATACAGTTATCGTCGTAATAACTTTACACTTTTCATATTCGTAATGACTTTTTAATGTATTCAAATGTCGACATAACAGTAAATTCGATATCTAACTTCGCTTTAGTACTGATATTAATGTGTTTAACAAACTAATGCCATAAAAATATAATGGCTAGTGTAATGTCACCATTAATTTCTTTAGTAAAGTAATACCCGACATAAACCCGACCATTACGTTTTTCGGTAAGACCTAGTTTGATATATTATATGTTTAGAAATGTTTTCTCTAAGATAATGTGGATATAGCTGAACACAACACATGTGTCGTCCTAATTTGTAAAGATTATTATGAGTAAGTTGATGTTTTTTTTAAGACAATAATATAATCTAGGTAATTATGGTTTTGTAGTGACAAAAGGTATTAAAATTGGAGTTACAGATAACTGTATAAAGTAATAGAGGTTACCTATATAAGAATTTTAAGTAAATTCCTTCCTAAATTAAGTATTTTAAGTTTTAATATTTTCATCTAGAAGCGTATTCAGGAAAGTAGATAAGTTGTGCCAGGATAATAGTACTGACAGGCGTTAGTTTCAACCCTCATGGGAAAGAAAATACGTGGTATAACGCAGGTAAGCTAAGATGTGAGAAAATGAGAAAAAATATAATTATATTAGGTTTATGATAGGTAAGTATTCATTATAAATAGTTTTTTTTATATAAACAATTAAGATATCACGCATTGTCTTTAATTGTAATTAGAAAATAACTTCACTGGTCTTCGCTGAATGTCATTAAATGTTTTTTTATTGGTGGCATAACTATATAATTTGGACTTAAAAGAGTAAGCATGGAATTTCTTCCTCGTTCTTCTTTCACTTTGAAACGAACAAAGAGCTTTACTAGAGGAAAGACCGACAGACTGACAACTTTTAACTTCCTTTATTAAGTAATTTAATTTGACGTTAAAAGTGCCTCTATTCGTTTAATAGAAATAAACGATTTGACTTTGGTTTTGGCTTTAACACAACTTTCTTTTGTTTTTTTGGGAGGGTAAAATCATCAAATGACTTCTCTTGCCCATAGTGTTAGACTCTTACTGACTAGAAACCTCCCTGTTCCTTCTCCTGCTCTGGGCCGAGGTCGCGGTGCCTCATTGAGCTTACCCCGCAACTTTAACACAACTTAAAGAACTATCTGTCTACTTGATTACTGCTCAAAAGTGGATGTGCCTATTTCGGCACGAATGAACCGGCTCGACCGGAGTGATACGACGGCCTCACAGAAAACCGATGTAAAACATTGCTTGCGGTGCTTATTTAGGTGTGTAAGTAAGATCAGTGGCGAATCAATCCCTATCTTCATATTCCAATTCTCAAAAGACCGGCACTTGTAAATCAACAATTGCAAGTGCCCATAGAAAACGTCGATTGCTTCCCTTGATCTGCCAGCACGTATTTCGCTCTATGCCATAGAGAAAAATGACACCCACCTTACAAAACTGAAAAGAAAAAAAAAACACTTACAGTTAACAGCTTCTCTAGCCAGCAGTAGTTCTTTTTCCAGCTGCTGAGGATCTAGTTGAGGTGCATCCTGGGTGTCAGACTTGGCTCGTTCCAGCAGTGTGCTCCCAGCCTCTCCTCGTTCTGCAGCCGCCACTAGTAGGCGACGGACCCTTGTCAGCTCGGCCTGAACAAACGTAATAATAGTTTAATTATATGTATATTTAGAAACTTATATACAAATTACAATTCTGATATGCTATGGCGGGTGTTATAGAATTGTTGGTGTCAGATTTAAAGCAAACAAGGTCAAAATCAATGTCTTAACATTTATTTGAAACTAGCTTTTGCCCGTGACTTCCTGCAGATTTTTGGTATAAAACTATTTTATGTCCTCTTTCGAGTTCCAAACGATGTTTGTACCAATTTTGACAAAATTCGGTTCAGTAGTTTAGACATGAAGAAAAGACAGAGTTACTTTCACATTTATAATATTACATTAGATTAGAAATAGAGGATTAGGCACTTTTGATCGTCAAATACAAAAGTGTCAGTCTATCGGCCCATCCTCTGTCCTGTAGTGAAGCCTGACATACATAACTATTATAAAAATGTGGTAGTTTTACTACCCAATTTTCAACTTTATCACTGCGACATAAGAAGCTGTCGAAGTAGATCGTGAATCAATATCATGAAATAGTTACCTACGTATAAACCTAATGGAGTTCCCAAAGGGCTTTCGAGACAGTAATAAACCCCGTATCTTACATAACATCAACCTAAGTCCAGCCGAGTGGAAAAAGGTTAAGTAAAAAATTGATCCTCGAACGCTGCGGGAATCACTAATGACACTTTATTGGAGAATTACACCTTTATGACCAATCTATTCCAGTATTTTTGTAATTTAGTTTTATGGGCACATTACCATTGAGAGCCTGGGAACTATTAAAGTGTAAATAAAAAATAACGCTGAAGTAGCGGAAGTCTATTATGGTTTTTCCTACGCAACTTTGGAGTGAGTAGAAGACTCCACAGTTTTGTATTTTAGAAGGATTTGGTTTGAGAATCTTTTCTTATGAAACGGCTGTGTTAAGGAACTTCTTCTAGTACTTAAACCACGCAAAAAGGGGAACGTCCAAACCAATACAAAAAAAGATACCAATATCATAATAACATTAACCAATAAAGACTAAATCCCCAAAAGTAATCAGGAGCATAAAATAAATTCTAGGGATAAACCAAATTGAACGGCAAATACTAAGCCCCGCAAGGTACCCCAAAATGGTTCTTATAAGCCTATTATGCTGTACCTGTAATCTTTCATTTTCCATCCGGAGTCTCCTGGCTACCTGTGCGGCGGTGAGCATCCCAGGGGACGCTGGAACTTCCTCCTGCCGCGACCGATCCGAACGACCGCCGGGGGAGGCTGCATCTGTACCATCAATAACAATATTTGAATAAACGATACATTTGTGCTCAACAGAATCTTCATCAAATAGAAAATGCCAATTTCAGAATATTTTTTACTATAGTTTTTTATTTTCAAATATATGGTTTTCACTGTCGAACAACGTTAAGGTGATTAATTATAAAATGAAATGCATATTCAAAATAATTTCGCGCCTTTTATGAGAAATATATTGCTTTACATGGATTTATGGTCGGATACGAGTATATTAACGCCCGATTTTGTATACAATGACTTATTAATTTACCTACGACGAAACTATTATACCTATATATACCTACATTGTAAATACGCTGAAACTTTCATACTTTTCCAATCTTAACTTATTTTCTCAGGCAATCATTATAAATAAACAAAGATAAGTTAAGCAGTCACTTTTATTTAGCATCAACTCGTCTTATTAATTCGATCCTCGTTTAGCTGGTACCATAGCCATGTTTATAGGTGTACTTTCACAAAGTTGAATCCTTGTTTAGCGTTCAAGGGCTCACGTTGTAACCCTCATTATTAGCTGTCGTACTATAATATGAAAAGTTTTGTAAAGTACGGTGGCACCGCACTCATACAAATGGAATTGGTTATGGCGACGTAAACGTTGTAATAACGCGAAAGTTCCCCGAGTCACGAAAGCCACGACTCTGGCCGGTCCAGACAAATCGATTGCTCGCATGTACCACGCGTCACGGCACGACGGCAGGTGTGCGCGACGCCTGCTTTATTGTGCCATCGCTCTCAAAGTGACGTATTGACTTCGGGAAAATAACGCTTTCCCGACACCAAGTAATTATTCTCTACCAGACAACCTCTAATTCCAGGGAACAAATGGAGTGAGAAAGTGCTCAAGATCTACTGTCTCACATTAATAAGCGTACGAGTCCCGCACTCTGATGCGAGAGGAAAAAGAAACAATAAGCTGTAAGATTAGTAACAAATGGAGCAGTGGCAAATTGGTCGCCGAGCGCCGGCTCTAACGTGAACAAATACAGACAGATTGCTAATAAATTATGCTTGGACGCATATTGTCCTACGATCCTATTATCCTGCTCGCTCTGATAAGTCAATAGGTTGAAGCATTGCACAATTGCCTCCGAGACCATTGTCACGGATGAATTCACAATTTGTCCTAGATGTTGTCTGTGTAATAGAAGTAAATATCTGCCGTAACTGTAACATAATTATTAAAGGAAATTCAAGCAGAAATACTCAAATAGTTACTTAAAAAACAGCTTACTAATTAAAGCACTGAGAAAGGAATTAAATGACAAATTGCAACATCAGGCGGAAAGTTTCTTTCTGGCGGAGTTGGCTAGCTGTGCAGTGTGCAGTTAGTCGGCAAATGAGCTTATTCCCCAAGGCTGCGCGCTCATTAGCAGCGAGGATATTCTGCAGTGAACGGGCCGCACAATATATGGATGTTTTACCAACACATAGCTCGTGTCACCTCCTTAGTTGCTATGAGGAAAATATTAATTTAGTTCCACTTGCGCTTACTAGCTTCCAACAAATTGACTCAAACGAAAATTAATGAAAAAGCTTTTAGAGACTTGAGTACAAACGTAATGTATATGGTTGTTGTTTTCTGTTTAAAAGGGGGACGTCCAATAAATTTTGTTTGTGAGTTTTTATGAGAATATTCGTCTTAACTCGAGGTTTCAAATGCAGTCGCAAAAGTCTACAATTAAATTCTAGTGTCACTTATTTATTCAACGTGATCGAAAACATGTTTGTGGATCGTCTGTTACAAAGTATGGAGTCTATAATTGTATTCAGTGTATGTTGCCTCAGAGAGTTCAACGACGCTCGTAATATTCCCAGCTTGTAGCCGCACCTATGAAGAATTTCAAACTTACTCTAACTAACTTCATCAACAAAACAAACATGCCGTCTCGACTAGTTACGAACTATTATCTCTTGGATTACAGACTCTTAAGACAAACTCTTGCCGCCAAGTTTACCTTATCCGCAGCCCGCCTTGTTTTATTTCATAAATAATTGGGACGAATGTAGATAGATAAAAGTAAATTCGTTGGCGCTTTATTTATATTTGGTAGAACCGAACTAACCGGGCTTACAATGATTGGATAGCTGGTGACAATATAGCAAAAACTAACTACTGTTTTGTTGTTTTATGAAAAACTATGTGTCCTGGATTCCTAAAGATTTTTTACTGTAATGTATTTTAAATGAAATGAATCTCCTTACCTCCTTCAAGTGTCGCAGTAATGTCAGCTCTTGGTTCAGGACCGTCGCTACTTCTGCCTGGAGACGTAGCATCAGGCAGAGGTACTTCTTCCTCTGAACTGTCGGCAGGATCCAGAATATTCCTCTCGCTGGTATGACTGTTGCCTCCATTGCCGATTTCAGCGTAAGTACCACTGTCGCTGCCATTTTGTGTCGACCATTTCACCGGGGACTCTAGCTTGCCATTCGCCTGGTTTTCTTTATTGTCATCGTCTGCGATAAAAATATTTTTCTATATTATATTGAGGATAAGTATTTACACGGTTCGTAATCTGAAATTTTAGGAATATGTTACGGTAGTAAATAAATACTAAATAAGAGAAGGAATGTTATTTACTCAAAGCAGAGTTTAGGAACCGATTTAAACCGGGCATTAAGAAAGATGTCTATTTGCTGATTAATTGTAATTGACGTGAATTCTTTTGTATGTAAGCATATTAAGAGTCAAGATGTAAATTACAAGTGTCTTATTTTTATAGCATAGGGCCGCAAATGAATAGGCGGATCTTCTGATGGTGAGCATTGGTGTTGCTCACTATCTTATGACCGTGTTGTTAGTGTTATCACTAACAACAACAATTTGCCAAGTGCGATGCTGGCCTTTTGGGTTTTAGGAAATATGATGATATTAGGATTTGGCAAAACACAAAGTAAGTGTTGTTTAAAGGTTGAGTCACGAATGTGTATTCGTGGCGAACCATATCTCTTGAACGTGTAAAAATTAAGCACTTCCTGGCCTTTGTCACCCAGGTGGATACATTTATTTGAAAACCATAAATATATTAATTGAGAATCCAGTAGATTGGTCTCACACGTTTTTCATTATATACATATATAATGTGATGCTATAGGAAATAATTTATTTTACCCAGTACTTATAAAACCACCTAGTTTTCATTAGTCTGCCTCTTTTCACGTTGAGCCCTAACCCTCTGTACAGTTGACAGGCACCGTAGGGTTGTGAGATAGGTGAGTACATGTTGATTAAGAGCGAAGCTGAGAATAGTGTTACGGTGAATATTTTTGCCACATCTTACCTATGAAGGGATTGTCCTTCCCATTCCTTACAGACAGTCTAGTGGTCCTATTGATGGTGCCCTCCTTGTCGACGCCGAGCCCACCGTTACGTTTGTCCAGGGTGCCGATGAGCAAGCGTCGCTCAGGCGGCACGGGTCGGTCTAGCTCAGGCCGCTCGAGCGCCGAGCTGGCTGGCGTGATCAGAGGGTCAGCCGGCTCCGGCTCGGCGTCCGCATCAACCCGGGCGCCCACCGATACTTGCTCGTCGACCATTTTGCGGAGTTTCGCCTGTTAATATAGTAAACGATTACTACTTTTCTTTATAAGTACTTTAAGCAAATTTACTCATGTTCGATTGAGAAAATATTTATTTATTGTATGTTATTTTGTGACATTCTTAATAATGATAATCAAACAAACATTCTACAGAAATACAGTGTTCCTAAAGGTTGTGAACGTTCCTGCCACCCACGTGACATCTTTGTTACCTTATTGTAAACATGTAGGTCGAACTCGTTTGTTCCAGGTCGAGCACTACAGAACAATCTACGTGACTATCAATTGTGTGGCTAATTTGTTAAATTAATTAATTGATGTGTGCTTCAGTCATCCGCCATTTACATTCTCACCACAAACGATGTATTGGTGTGTCATTATGCAGGTGTGCTAGCTTTCAACCTCGATAATGAATCGGTTATAAATTCCCAGTAATCCAGTTTATTTATCAACACAGTTTGAGGACAACAGCGATATATTTTGGCCATTAATCTGTAGCTATTAATCTGAACAGACCCCTCTTGCTTAGTTAATTCACCTGCTACCGTTTGATGTAATGGTCGTTTAAGTCTGCTCGTCGTACCGTGCGGCCGTGGGGGTGCGATCATTCCAACGTCCCGACTCCATTAGTGATAATACGTATATTTTATGACAAAACAGTTTGATAACTAGAATACTAGCATAGTTAAGTGAAATTACCAACAGTTAGACTGGGAAATATTGGGTTAGATAATGTTACTACTATTCGTAAAAGCACAATGCAAATAGCCAATAAACAATAGTAACCGTAAAGTTTTATCATCCAGCGTGCAATACGTTTACATACTTAGTTTCATTCAATTTGCTACACAAATAGGTCGTGTGTGTAGAGACGTCGCGCGCCGGGTTATTGTGCACGCTAGCCACATGTCATGTAGCAGGATGTTGTCAAGAGTTTCCCGTTAAACGGTCTAACAATGGGTTGTCGAAGTGTGGCGTGCGCTAATCGTGCACGCGGTCGTCCTCACCTGGGCGTCGCCTAGTATGCGGCGCACTAGCGCCATCAGGCCGCCGTGGCAGGCGCTGTCATGCTACCCTCCCCCTCCGCGCTGCCTCATTGTCTCCGCGTGACACCTGCCACACGCTCGTTACACTTCCTATTCACCACTAAACTTTCAATACAAATTGAAACTATTCCACTTTGCCGAGCGCCCCCTTTGTCTCAGCACTCCACTGACAGTCCGGAATGAGGATGTCGCTTCCCAGGAATTATCTGAAACAAACATATTTCATTGTTAACTTCATGATAGAGCAGCCGCACTTGTTACACTTTGAATTAACTTGCTCGTGTTCATAAATGTGTTGTTGTTAGTGTTTACAGTGAGTTTCGAATGTTTCATACGACGAATCAGTTACCTTCTCAAAAATAAGATTACCAGTTGAAGCAAAATTTCCAAATCAACATATTTTTTGAATAATATGCTTTGTTTCAATAGTAGGACTATTGAAAACAGTTCAACAGTTTCTACAATCTGAAATGAAATTTGTATAAAAAAGAAAAAACTGTTTTCTGCAGCGGATTTTTCTGAATCATCATGCGAACTAATTACAACGTCTACCAAGAAAAATACTAAAAACTCTTAATTGCCTGCTAAGTACGGACCCTACTAAAGTTCCGTCAAAATACTTGTGAAACTCATTATTCAGGTCGACACCGTCTCTTGTGGTACTAACGGCTCTCGTCTTTGACGTCAGCATCTGATTCTTTTTGTCAATGGCTCCACCCGCGTTGCAAGCACATAAAGGAAAGGATTGCTGTTCACTGAAATATAGTCGACAGAGCGAAAATTGTGGCGCCACAATAAAAAGCCGTTGTTTATTGAACACCGAAACAGCTGTTCCCGTTGTTACAGGCAACTGACGCAATTACACAAACGCGATACAAAAATGCAAACATGAAACATTTTTTCATGTTTGTAATCGCGCATGAATTGAAGAACTGTATATTTTTTGTTCATTTAGCAGCTTTAAGCTGATGAATATAGTCCTAGCAAACGCTTTAAGGCGGTAATTTGCGAAGAGCGGCTCGTTGAGCCCGGCCGCTTCAGTTATTGGCCGCAAAATTGATTAAAATTCCAGCTGCGTAAGGGAGTCTCATCTACTTTTTTATTAGATTGCGCTCACTGAAGAGTGTTTTAGTAACTTTCTATTCGTGTTTGACCATTTGATTTTGCCGAGTAATCAGATCGTGCCGCTCTAAGTCGAGGATTCATGGGGTGAGATTGAACCGCTCTGTGATGGAAATAAACATCGTAAAGTACCACCCGCGGCATGTATTTTTTTATGTTTTAATTTAGTACGAATAAAAGCGTACCTGAGTGCTTTCTTTAATGAACATTTGGGATTTACTAGGAGCTGTAACTACGTACAGCTTTTTGTTTATTATTTGCCGCGAGGTATGTAAAACATTGTCTTAATTAAATGGCACCCAAATTTGTTTTGAATTAAATAACTTAACCCAGACACATTACTTACTATATTTCACTTTCATTAAAAATACTACAGACTAGAGTCTATATTTTCTTTTGAAATATGAAATAGTTGCATGATATATTCAAAATGTAGTTCTTGGGAAAACGTAACCTAACCTACATTTCACGTCATACGTAATGGTAACATTGCTCATTATATAAATGAATGTAACAACATGTATCTCGGATTTCCGAGACAACACATTATAATTCACCCTACAGACTATGGTTTAAACGATTGGATGTTTTAAATCAATATATACCTGGCATTTAATTTAGATTTAGCACTCCCCCATTTTCACTAGGGTCGTCACGTCACGAGTGCAGTATTCATCAAAGTAATTGCGCTGTTTCATTAAAAGTCCCGGCACATCCTTCAAGATTTGCATAAAAAGGTCTCCAGGCCGCTCTAGAAGCCTCCCCCGACTTAACATTAAACCAATTTTTAAATGTCACTTCTAAAAAATGTCACGTTTGAAGAGAACTTTTCGTAAACGGTGAGTTGAAACAAGAATTTCTATCGACCTTTTAGATTAACCTTACATATCTGTAGTTGGTGGCTATTATGTGTTTAAACTGAATAAGTTTACGAATTAAATTAGAATATTTATTTGAAACATTTTAATTGCTGTGACTAAGGAAAGTGTACTTCATTAAATCAATGTTAATTAAGCAACTTTTCTTTATGATTTAGTTTTACTAAATTATTACCTTAATTTTTTTCTTTTTATACTTGTTTTGGACGTAGCTCAGGGTGAAGGACTTTTTAGATTTACATGTCAAAACTTAATGCTTGTTAATTGCTTCAAATTCTCAAAGAAAGCTACTTGGTGCTACAATAAAGCTCATACCGATAAAGGGACCGATTTGGGCACACGTCAATGGATTTGTGTCGCTGCAAAGGGGGAAGCGCCGTCAGCGAACCAACAAGAATCACTGCGGCACGGATAACATAAAAAATGGAGCCTAACATCAAAATTTGTGGAGCCAAGCGAAACACCCTGGTGTATATCTCCTGCCTGCATTACACCACTAAGGCGGATGACATCATGGAGTACTTGCTTCAGAAGCTAAAGTATGCCCCGAAAGTGTAGCTGCTGTAGTCACGCCATATCACTAACTTCGAGACGTTCATGGTGCGAGCGCCGGCGTGTATCCTACACCTCATGCTGGACGAGAACTTCTGGCCACAGAACGTGGTGTTCTGCCACTTCCACGGACAACTTCCACATGAACGCACAATAACATAGATTTAGTTTTTATTTAATAACAAGTTTTGTGTTATATAACGTGTATTTGTTCGTTTTAAGGTCATATATGAATCATTGTGGATTGGATAATAATTATAAACAATTGAAATAAATTAAATTAAAAATGAAATAAAGTTCGAGTTTGACAGGGTCAAGAGTGCCTACGCAAGGCACACCACAATATTACCAAGAAAAGTTTTCATAGTTCACGCACACAACACTCCAATTAGTTTTCATAAACAAAATAGGCCCTTAACAAACTATATCAGACAGTTAGCTAAACCAAAACAGATGTTATGTTTAATTTGATATACAACACACTCGACGAAAACATTTCGCAAGAGGATGCGGGCTTTGGCACAAAGAACTGGGAGATACAAAAGTTCCCCATAACCTTATACGTATGTACGTATGTAGGTATGCATGTATCTATGTACGTGTTCCTACGAAAACACGTAATCCTATGTTCAGAACTTTGTTCTGCGGTTTTCTCTTCATTTGCTAATGTTTTCAAAATAATTGTTAATTTGAATAGTTTTGCAAAGGAATCTTTTTTTGAATACAGACAAAGACTTTTAGTGGTTTAGTACATACACTTTGTCAAACTTTGATATTCATCTATTAAATCAAGAAAAGTCATTACCTTAATTTTTATTTTTCTAAAAATATAAAATGTTTTTGTCTGATCAACATTTTATTATTCTTCATTCGAATCTACGTTTTAGAACAAGCATCTAGCTTCACTGGTGTTTTATTTTTAAGTAAGTTTTTTTGAGCTGTATGGATTTGAGAAAAATAACTTTTTACTATGAATTTTATATTCAGTTTCTTTGCTTTATTTTAAGAATAAGATGATTGATCTTAAAAACTTCAACACAACATTATTCAAAACATATGATCCACAATATGAATTCAATTCCCCCGTTTAAATTGCTACATCATGTGGTAGAATATGGCAGTACCTATATTGTAAAGAGTAATACAAAATTGTTTTCCAAGCTCGGAGCTCAAGCCACGAAACCGGCGTATTCTGAACCGCTCGGGTCGGGCGCATATTCTGCCTAACCGTTATTCAACCTAAACTCCCCAGCCAAGCTATAATTCAACAGAGTGGAGCACTGAGCCTCGTTATTACAACCTTTGAATACTTCATATTTTAATTAAAACGGGAGTCAGAGAGGTTTTGTTTCTATACTCATATGCAAACAACATTTTTTTGAGATTACTGATACGTGATTACTTTGGCAATTGTATTTTTCGATTATTTATATTGTTTCGAGATTGTCGAGTTTTAGGTTATTTTTCATGTTTTGTATGTTAGTAGGTAAGTCTTGTTTGTTGAGTTGTAAGAAAAATATTTTTTTACTCACATGAAAATATTTGCGTAACTTTTTACCCGCCATGTAAGATTATATAACACTTCTTTCCCCGCCATTATCACAAAAATACCATAGACAATTTTTTAATTTACTCTTTTTCATAGACGTTTTCTACTATTCTGTTCTGAAACTTTACCAAATAAGTTTCGTTGAAGCAGGTTTAATAATTAATTCGAGCAGTATTACGGTTTGATATATCACTAAACACAGAGATTAGGAATTTAATAAGCTTGTTAGGCAAACTGAGAAAATAAACTGAATTTATGAAAATTGGCCACTTTTACCATAAAAGCAGGCGACTCGAGCACAGGTGACGGGAATCATCCAAAATGGCAGGGATCGCACTGAGACTATATTTACGGCGAAACTTACACAAAGCGCCTCCAACTGTTCCATTATAATAGACCCATAAATAGTTAAAGTTTAAATCTGAACACTAATCCCGTTTTGTAGCATCATCATTTCTAATATATTTCGACATTATGTAATAATTTTCATTTTTTTTGTATTTGTTTTTTGTATTCATATTATAACCTTTTTGATTACTTGAAGAAAGTTACTGGCCGTTTGTTAGAAAGAAGTATTTCGTTATGCCAAAATATAATCTTTTTTTTTTGCCAGCCAGTATTGACAATATAAATTATAAAAATATAATGATATCTCTGACTAGATTATAGCTATCTGGGATGTATATTGTAATTAAATAAGAAAACAGGTGTTTGGTTTCTCATTTGTAGTCACTTTTAATAATAATTACTTATTGTAGTCAAACCTATATCGATGTAAATAATAATCAGAAGTTGATAAAAAAAAATGTATATAGAGCAAAAAATTAAAAAAAATACGACTGATAATAGATAACAAAAATATAAATTTAATGTAATTTATAAATGTTTCGATTTCA